GTGAAACTGTCGGACAAACCGACTGTGGATGCGAGGCAGAGAGCCACTGCTAAGCTGCGAAACGGCAAGTGCGCCGATGCCGACGTGATCCTACCTGAAGTATTGAAACACGGCGGACCCACGTTGGTGACTGCGCTGTACCACTTGGTGCAAGGCCTGTGGATCGAGGAGGAAGTGCCTCCTGAACTGAAGGATGCCCTTGTGCTATCACTGTACAAAGGCAAAGGAAGCAAGCAATGTTGCACGAATTATCGTGGCATCAACTTGCTTGGCAGTGTGGGCAAGGTGATTGCCCGAATCCTGCTCAACCGCCTCGTCAGTCAGGTTGTGGAACCTAACGTGGCGGAAGAACAGTGTGAATTCCGCTCGGGTTGCAGCACTATAGATATGGTGTTTGCAGCTCGTCAGTTGCAGCAGAAGTGCAGAGAACGACACCAGCCGTTGTACTCGCTTTCTGTTGATTTCACCAAGGCATTTGATACGGTGAACCGCGAGGCATTGTGGCTGATTTTGGGTACGTTTGGTTGTCCGCGTAAGTTTGTAGGTTTAATTGAATATCTGTACAGTGGTATGAAGGAGAGGGTGCAGTTGAGTGGACAGACATCAGATGACTTTGTAGTTATCTCTGGTGTGAAGCAAGGCTGTGTCTTAGCTCCTGTTCTGTTTAATATTTATCTTCATGCAGTGATGGTTATTGTTTTCGATGCGGCTTGTGCTTACGGAGTTCTTGCGGAGCACCGTATTGATGGTGAGTTGCTGAACATCTGTCGTTACGGTGCGAAATCCCTAGTCTGTGAGACAACTATCCGTAAGTCACTGTTCGCAGACGACTGTGCACTGTTTGCACACAGCACGGATGAGTTGCAGCACATGACCAGTGCTCTAGCCTCGACAGCGGACAAATTCGGTCTCACCATAAACACAAGCAAACCTGTCTGTCTTTTTCAGACTTCACCGAAGGTGCAATCTGCAATATTTCCGCGTATCACAATTGGTGTTGAAGTAGTAGAAACCACCTCCCGCTTCTGATCAGCAACCACACGGTGTTCCGCGTATCCGCGTCTCGAAGGTAGCGGCTGTATTCAGGAAACTAGAGTGCCGAGTATGGAACAACCATTAGCTTACCGTTGGCACGAAGCTGATGGTGTATAAATCCATGGTGCTGTCCGTTCTTCTATACGGCAGTGAAACGTGGAAGATGTACCGGTGAGATGTGAGATATTTCGAGCGGTTCCATCAACAGTGTTTGCGACGGATTCTGCGCATCGGATGGTGCGACAGAGTTGCGGACACGGAAGTGTTGCTTCCAAGTGGAATGTATGCAGTGGACTGCATACTTTGGCTGAGATACTTGAGGTGGCTTGGTCATGTGCGGCGTATGGATTCGACGCGGATACCGAAACAGCTCTTATATGGTCCGCTGAGTGTAGGGAAGCGGCATGTGGGGAAACCGAAGCTTCGTTACCATGACATGATCAATGCGAGCCTATCACGTTCTGATCTTGAGTTCAGTTGTTGTGAAACGAATGCGGCTGATCGGCATGCATGGCGTGATCTGATCACGAAGGCAGTTGTCGAGGTGTGGGAGAAAGACCTCATGTATGCGCAGAAGTGGCAGGCGCCGATGGATTGTAGTCCATCCATGTCGAACGCATGGTGCTGTAGTACATGCGATCGTAAGTGCCTGAGTCAGGCAGGCCTAGTGAGCCATGAGCGAGGCCATTCGGGGCCAACACCGGAACGACGACGGGTCCTGTAGAGAACGTAGGCAGAACCAGCGCAGCGTTTGTAGGTACGCTGCATTCGAGTTACTAACCACTTGTTTGCATGCTGGGTCGCTTTGTTTCGGGTGGTGGGTTTGCTATATTGTCTCATTATTGCCTACGTGAACTATCTTCTATAAACTTGCACACGTCGCTCAAGTTAATTGTAGTCAACTTTGATAACATTTTCGCGTTTGTGACATTTTCTTAAAATATATTTTCTGATGACCTGGATTTGGCGCGGATCTTTTGGCAACCAATTTATTTCACATGCTGATTTATTGCATAGCTATATTGGCATATCTGTATACATTATTCCATTTACTTTATTAGATCTCGTCATTTCAAGTGATTGGCTGTTACTTGATATCCCCGGTGTGGCTGCGCTTGATGTGCTTGTTGACAAGATGCCTACCTGTCTTTTACCCACTAACTCGTCCATACTGACTGCAGGGGACAGTTGGTCGTTGCTGGAGGGGACGGGGTGCACGGTCCTTGTAGCCGTGCCAGGCTCGAAGAGTGGTCCCATGCACTCAGTGTGGAGCAGACTACGGTCCAGCTACCGCCTTGGGTGCGTTTGATTTCCCAAATACAGCGTGCTTGTGTTTGCCTGTGAAGGAGTGTGGGCCGGCTCCGTCGATGAAACGTGGTTCCCATCCGCATGCCTCCCGGTCTTATTCCTTCGGGTTTACACTGGATATGGGGTGTGTGGTTGGAGCTGTGGGTGGTGCAGCGTAAGTCACCCATGGTCCCTCTGTAGGCGCAGGCGTCCTGTGGTTGGCTACTGTGACAGTCAAATCCGAGACCAACCATATATACAAGGGAGTGTAATGAGAAAAACACATAAAGCTGTTTTCCAAAGGTTTTGGTCGTTTTTGGGTTTCAAAACGTTTTTGTGGGTTTTGGAAAATGTTGGCAGGAGCATAAAAATGTGGGAGGAATGCTCACACGGGCACTATAACGCCCATTCTCTGGAATGTGTCTACTCATTACCTAGGTCGCAATCAGTAGTTTGAGTGCATGTCGAACTGTCGATTAACCAGTTCTAAGCTAACTGTCCAATTACGTTGGTAATAGAGGCAGACAAACACCCACAAAAATTGATTTCACTGAGTAAACTACACTACGTTTTGATTTATGGTACTACTGTATGACTTAACTTTTTGACATTATGTAAGTGCTCATCTAATATATTCGAAACAAGATGTAGGTTAAAACAAATTTATACTATACTACTCACAACCGGAACACTAGGTATGCTACTTATTGGTATAAGACCACTATATGTTGATCAAATTTCTATGTTGACTACTTTGGCACAGTCCTTAATGTGGTCAACGTACGCAGGTTATACTGTGACTACGTTTTTGGACTTCTGGTGTACGACTATGTAATTGAGTGACGTTACACGTAGTCCTGGATAAGAACAATTCAACAATGTAGGGTATAACGAAGCAAAGAGAGCGATTGGGCAAGTAAGTATGTGTCTGTCAGGAAAAACCGATTTGACCGTCCGATTTTCATCACAAAACCATGTCAAATCAGGTGTCATATCGGGCGCCCATCGAGCGATCTTACAGATAAGGCGCCAATCTCCTTTTCCTAACTTCATTGGAGCCAAGAGCTTTGAACAAACATATGTTATCAGGCGCCGCAGCATGGAAAGATGATAAATCAAGGGAGAACCTCGAGAATGTGCTAATTAACTGTCAATGACAGTCGATAGTGGGCCTCAGCAAGTCAAACTAGCTAGTTTGAGCACATAAAGTCGTCGCAGCTCAACCAGACCGCTATCACATATCCACAAGACCAATAAACGTCCGTTTTACCCTTTCAACTATTGTCTGAAGTGCTCACTTCAACTGTCCGCTGTGTGGTTAGCACCCGTGACCTTACTCTTACGACAGATGGAATGTCGATGAGTATGTAAAGGATGAAGCATTCGTTCGGTGCTCTTCCGGACGTGTGGTATAGTTGGGATTGATTCAACCTAGGTCATACAAATACTCCACTACCAGTGATCATAAAGAGTCCAGGTTTACACCTGAAGCGAAATGCATCCAAACGTTGACGAAATAACAACAAATAGAACGAATAATGGAGCAATGAAATAATGTTCTAAAATAAAAAAGCAAATAGTTGGCAAGTCTCACAGACCGTGAAAACCCTATTTTCCGTGGAGCAGTGTTGCCTGACATACTGATGTAAGGTTAAATGCATCGCTGCTAACTCACAGTTTCAAGTGCAGTCACTTCTCAAAAATCGAAGCTGAACCGTATAGAGAGATAATTGGATTCCTTGCAGCTAACTTGAAGGTCTGCAACCTATGATGCGGTAGTATGGATCGGGTAGCTAGACTATAGCAGTCCGGGAAGGCTACGTCATGACTCAAGGGAGTCCCTTTCCCCGTCTGTCATTCATCAAGCTGGATAGCTGTCTAAACTTAGTTGGGAATAAGTTCGAATCCCTTTAGTGTTGTTTGCTTTGTAAACAGTAGTAAAATGAACAGTGCCTCTTATTGGATTAGTGCTGGGACCGCTGCTCGGTAGGTCCACAGTGTCACAGCAGTTAAAAAAGGGTTGCAGCGTATGGCGAAACTATGCACCCTGTTCTTTCAGCGGCAATCACTGTCTAGCAGGAACAGGGTCGGGGTTAAGTTATCTTGCTGAGCCAGAAGCTAAGCGATGCTGTCGACGATATGACAGAATATTTAGTCGCACAGTGTTTTTGTTTATTTTATAGTCATTGTGCGAAGTTCAATCCTGGTGACCGCTAATAATCACTACTCGGGGTGTTATGCGAAGGATAGGGGACGGATGACACCATCGCATTAGGGGTATGTAGCAAAAACGTGAGGGAAGGTCAAAAGAAACAGAGCAGTTTGAGCTAGTTCTGCGGACCATGTGTCTGACCGAAGGCGCCGCATAGCTTGGAGGAAATTCTATGTATCGTTAATACGCAGGCCCCATGTGCGCGGAAGATTACCGTACATAATCAACGGTAGCCACGTTCATAGGTGGTGAAGGTGTGCGCACTTGATGAGTAAAGTGAGTTACGGCCGCACAGTATAGAAACAGGTACACGAACCGGTTCAGACCTAGAGCGCTCGCCATGATGATACTGATGATGTCCAAGTGAAAACCGATTCTTACTCAAAACTCGGGCACTTGTTCGGCCAACAAATCGTAAAGGGGACATTAATGTACATGATAATTATCATGATGAAGGTTAACTTACGAAGAAAAGCAAATTGACAAGCACGACAATCGTTCCAGACACCACTTTGCACATGGCCGACGGAAAGGAATCGCTCGGAAAACTGACACCCCAACGGTGGTGATGATCGTTGTCTGGTCCAGTCTCGACAGATCCGGCCCAACCTTGCCAAACTATTGGCCCATTTGATGTTGGTTAAGATCGCGGCCAATCGCTGCCAAGGTTACTGTGTGGATAACAGGAACTCGCACCCCAAATGTGTTGACAAATCCAGTGTTGATTGCAGCTGAGGTTTGATTAACTACGACCTTGAAGCTGGCCACAGCTTCGCATAGCAAACCTCAACACACGATCACGTGATTGGCCTTGGCGAAACTGCGTGGTTTCGGGTGTTGGGGTCCGAAGCCGGTCTCGCCATCGGGAAACACATGGACAAACTGGTTGCCGTCACCTTGGTGATGCGCACAACAGAGGGTAACGGTGGTTTCAAGTCAAACTAAGCTTTATGAATCCTAATGGGTTCATTTTCAGCATTTACACCATCACTGCGGACACCTGGATGATAATGTCAATATACAGACTTGGGAAGAAATGGGGAAAATAAACAACTGTTACTCCAACAACCGTTCGCGCAGCATGTTAGTGACTCCCTGAGTCAACAAGCAAACGTGAGATAAGGCAAAATAGTATTACGATACGATGACGTGCGGGAGAATAAAATTCTGAATTTCGAACGAGTAGAAGAGAAAGAGAACATCTTGGAAAGATCATTGTGAAGTGGATGAAATCGATCAGCTAGTAACAGAAGAAAAATCCTCACAGGCATCAACATGTCTAGAAATGATCAAATAAACTAAAGAATACACAGGCCGCTGCATCTGGTAATGTGCTGTATAGATCGTATCAATAAGATGTGGTCTTTCTCAAGCAGTCCAGGGAAACTGACAGGAGAGCAGTATAACCAATGGGGAATAATACAAGAGGTCAAAAATCTGAATATTATAGTGCGAGGTACTGAAAGCACCTAAAGTCTGAGGGCATAAAAATAAGTTTTCTCACTGTTGGAAAAGTTTTATAGGCATGCGCGAACTATGAAAGGTTCTGGGATAAAAAGACGCCGAGATACTTGACGGTGGAATAGCTGGGTATGGGATTTTCATTCACAGTATGGGTAGGAGATAAATCGATGAGGGATTGCAACTTATAGTCACGGAGAAAAGAGAATATTACCTCGCCGCATTTAGAAGCATTAAGCGTAAGATATCTGTATGAAGACCGTTTCACCAGACTTTCCAACCCCTTTGAAGTGATGAGAAATCCTGGATAGTAGAGGCCATACATTCCAGGCCAAGATCGTCAGCATATTTACACCGTATAAGCGTGGATTGTATAGGGAGATGTCCAACATACAAGGAAAACAGAAAAGGTGATAGGATCGCTCCCTACAGACCACCACAGTCGGCACGAAGTACAGAGGATTTCTTACAGTTCAACTTGGTGAAGTGAGTACGATTCGTAGAATAGTCACATAACAGCTTTCACACCAGACTAAACTCCATCTCCGGAAAGTAGGTTTAGCAACCTTGTCTTATGTAGACTTCCAAAGGCATTTGAATAATCCAGGAACAGAATCCGTACGGATTTACATTTTTGATCTAATACAGAGGTTATAGAATGCACAACATATGCCACTGCATCCAATGTGGAGTCCTGGGGTCTATACGCAAACTGGTAAATATCGTCTTCAGGAGCGGCTGAAAAAATCCGCGGAGTTAACAGTCTATCGAAAACTGTTAGGAGCACAGATGTACATATAATTAGGCGATAATTTGAGATCCAGTTTTTGCTACCAGAGTGATACTTCTCATTCTCCAAATGTCCGGGATCACCCCCCTAGTGAGACATTTGTTAAAGAGATCTGTTAGGGGCATTGTGAGAGAACCGGCACACTCCTTCAGAGCTAATGGTGAGAGAGCATCCGGACCACAAGCCTTGTTTCCCTTTAATCTTTTGAGTTCCTAGTGAATCTTGCTTTGATTGAAGAGCGCAGCTGGACTTGAGCCGACGAAGGAGTGCAGGGAAGGTGAGCTTAATGAAGCGGAACTAAACTCAAAATTTAGTTTATCCACCTCCACTTCACCGCTCTGGCTGCAAACGCTCTTACCACAGAGCCGCCTCAGAAGCCTCCACAAATCGTGACAGTTATGGTTGCCTAGCACTGCTTCGATGTATAATTGGTGTTGCGGGCCGGTCAAATATCCCCGCAAAAACGCACCACAAACTCCGGCGTAATGGCTGCGGAAAGCGGGGTTCAATTCCTCCCCCCAAACACAGCAGATTTCAGCCACTCCGAGACGCGGCACAACTGCGCACATCTTGACAGTTTTCTTTTACAAACTACCACGCCGTTGTAGTAGCTATTTTCACCAACTCGATGACCCATAGTATTGGCTGTGATTCGCCCTTTGTTGGTCGTAGAAGAGCCTTCAGAAGACCACTTGTCTTGTTTTCTCCGCCGTCAGTTGGGCGTCGGTTCGGTCACGTGCTTTTTGGTGTGCGTCGATAGCCGGGCAGCGTTCGCGTCTAAGCCACCAATACGCGTCTACCGTCAACCCTCTGGTGTGCGTAGCCTCCTCCGTTGCGAGGGATCAGCGTCTAACCGAATACTTGTGGCTAGGAACGTTTTCACGCCAGCACGATTGTCCGCCTCACCAGCGCGTATCCCGGGATAAGATAACGTCATCACTTCAGCGCAAATCCGTTCGATCGGCCAGCGTTCCAAGCCGTTATTGTAGGCGTGCTCAAACCCTGCCAGTGACAATCGTTTCAGGCTCCAATTCTTATCAGAGGCGTCTCCCAATCTTAACAATTGGTTGAGCCTTTCTATCGCGGATTTGATTGCTGTGCTTGGGCTTTTGACACGGGTAGCCTTTTTGCACTTGTAAGCCCATTCTTTCATACTTTGAAGTCGCTTTGGTAGTGGTGATGAAAACCTATCTACCTTTAGGTAGATGGTTTCAACAAAGCAACATGTCTCAAAGCAATATTTGATGTAATCCATAAGATGGTCACATTCGATCGACAGGTTCTCGTCGTTGGACATCGGAAAATCAGTTAAATGAAACATCGTCTGGAGCTTCGTAATCTTTTCCAAGGGCACTTTCGCCCTTTGATAGTCCTGTAAGGAAGTCTGGTCAGTGTTAAAATGTTAGACCTGTAAGATATGACTGGACGCAGTTTTAAAATACCATGGTCTGAGCTGCTCAAAGGAGCCCGTGTTTGCATGGGAAACAACTGTCGTTTGTTTGTGAATACAGCGTCCGACTGGGCATCTTGTTTGGTCGAAACAGCCACTACGTCTACCAAACCAAGTGTCATCAAGAACGTTATATCCATTCTATTGAAGTCGTCAGCAACAATACAGGTAGAACAATCTACTTTAAGCAATAGCGTTGAAGAAACTTGGTCCTCCAAAAGCTGTAACTCTGATGCAGATGTGTCAGGAGCAATGTATACGTCTCCAGCGATGAGTGATTGAAAACCACTTAGGAATTTCAGTTTTCATTCAACTAAATGGCAGCTTATAGAGATCGTTGAGTATGTGAATAGTATGATTTCACATTTGCACCACGGTCGGTTAACATCTTATAACGCCACCACCACGAAACTGGAGCTTTCCGAGGCGGTCAGAGCTGATGGGAAAATAACCATCGCGTTGGATTAGCGCATGTTCCACATCATTATGCAATCAACTTTCTGGTAACAGAATGATCCCGGGATTAACATACTCATTTCACTGCTTACTGACGCTGAGATCACCAATTTTACTAACGAGTGAGCGAAGATTACTAGAAAATATCAGTGGGAGTTGCGTTTTGTCGACAGAAAAATGACTGAGACCAGATTGCCAGCCAGTACGATGCTTTGGCTTATTTCCTAGACATTTATTCCTAATTCGTTTGAAGGTATTCCTGACTTTATGACCATATTCGATAAAGCACGGATTTAGGGCAGTAACGCGCAACCTTTTCAAATGCATGACGGAGTAAGACAACATTGTCCATGAGACTTGATCAGAAAAAAACAAATCGCTTCAAAATTACAAATAAAAGATAGAATCTGCAGTCGGTAATAAAAAATAGTCTTCCAAGGAGAACAGCAACGATCGAATCGAAGGCCTTGCCAAGACCAAGGCAACCTGTGTTAATAATTGCGAACTTTCGGATGCACACGCACACGTAAGCTGAAATATGGGTACAATAGGGAAGTCAGTGTAGTCGGTCTATAAGACAGGCTTTAGTGGTTTTATCACCCTGCGTTTGTTCGATTGTGTGTTTACTGCCAGCGCAGCATATATGGTAATGAAGTAGATGGATTGGCGTACAACCTCGTGATGTCAGCTGGGTGCTTCCGAATGACCCAGTTACAGCGAATGGTTCGGCGGCAGTGTGCCAGCATATGGCGAGATTTCGCTTGGCAAAAGTTCGTCCTGTAAAAACCACAAATGTGTGCTTACCAACACCGCGACGTTGCGGATGTGATTCGGTAATAACTAAGGTCACTCCACTTGGTTCACATTAGCGGAGTATGGTATTTCAGCATCCTGCTGCTGACCTCATGAGGAGGATAGAGCCAAAGTTTGGGAATCGACCGAGTGAAGGGCGCATCAATGAACAATGATGAACAATGATTTATCACGGGTAAAGAAGCATGTGCTTGACAAGTCCCGTAGGATGGTTGGAGTAAAAAGTAAATTTAAAGGATCAGCAATCAAGTAAATCGTTATTTTAAGCGTCTACCGATTTAAATGCATTACCGCATAAGGATAGTTTGAACGGGGAATGGGATGTGCACACACAAAATAGGATAGAGAGCTGTTATAGTTCTGTAAATCCGTGCGAAATAAAAAAGGGAACGACAACGCTCCCACGTATGTTGCTTCATTTAACCGATGTGATATGTTAATCCAGTTTAGATACCTCCAGGCTACTCACATGGACACTTCTGCATGTATCGTCACCACCACGTTGCGGAGAGGGCCGTTAAGCACATGGTTAGGTTCGCGTTATTTTGTC